TGAACCCAGCTCCGATGTCCCACAGTGCTGGGTCACAGCTCTGTATCCTCCAACGTCAATTGACGAGGGTACACTAGTGAGAGTGCCGCATGCGTATTAGGCCTCCCCATAGGAAAGCATTGAATCAATAGATTTCCTCATGCAGAGCGTGAAGACGTCCAGTGTCAGTTACCAGACTAAAAGTCCGGTAACATTCCAGAAGTGCCTCCGGTAATATTCCGAAAATGGAGGCAGACTTAGTTCTGCACTGTAAACATGGCAGTTTCTCTGGAATTGCAGTGTTTTGCATTGCAGCACAAAGAGCAATAGGGACATTGTACCCAGACCACTTCAATGAGCTGAAGTAGTCTGGGTGCCTATAATGTCCATTTAAGAGTGACAGTACCTATCCTCTAGCATGTAAGCTCATTTGAGCAGGGACCTCAACCCCCTCTGTTACTGTGAGTCCAACTCATATGGTTAAAAAACATGTCTGTCAGTCCACCCATTGTACAGCGCTGTTGAATTTGTTGGAGCTTTATAAATAATAATAATAATAATACACCTTATGGCTTTGCTCCTCCTGAAAACTTTTCTTCGGACACATCTGATCATAACACAAGTAAATCAGTATTTCACTGAATGAAGGATAAAGAACTAAACTATTATCCTGCATAGGTACATACATTATAATCCATATGTATTCTTACCACACATTAAAACTTTATATTTTCTACAAAATTTATAAAAAATTTATAAAAACTGTTGCATTTTCTTGTATATTTACACTTGTTTTGTGCGCATTTTCTGATGCATTAAACTATTATTTCAACTTTATACATTATTGACTTTTACCACCTTTTCTGTAATACTAAAATAATTCATCTTTCCACCACTTTGTATTCCTAATACAGATTTTTGGCTCCTTTTTTGTCTTAATGGTTTTACTATTGATTACATTCACAAAACATTACAAATGTTTAAAGGGACACTATAGTCACCAGAACAACTATAGCTTATTGCAGGGCCGGACTGGGAAAAAAATTCGGCCCGGGCATTTTTCAATCACAGCGGCCCCCTGAGAAAGGGGAGGGGTCAGAGAGGGTGTGTTTTGTCATCACTAATGACAAGAATGCTCCCTCTCAAAGTGAACATGTTAGTTCAATGCGCAGAGCCCCACTAAAGCTCTAGCATGGGAAAAAGGCCCTGTATTTGTTCTGCACAGCGCAAGCAAATTTAATAACATGCTTGCACTGTGTTTGCTTTTAACTTGTCTCTGGTGTCTCCATAAGTGGGATACCAGAGGACAAAAGGGCCAGAAAAGCGTATGGTGAATGTGTTTGCAGCCTGCTTGTGGGATTTCATGTGTGTAGAGTAAGCTGATTGTGGTGTGGTATTGTGTAAATAGGTCAGTTTAATTCGTGTTTGTGGTGTAAAATGTGTGGCTAGGGGCTGTAGCGAGTGTGTGTATATGGGGCATAGTGTGTATAGGGGATGTAGTGAGTGTAGGGGTTGTAGAGAGTGTGTGTTTAGGGAATGTAGTATGTGTTTGCTTACAAGGAATGTAGTGTGTGCATAGGGGATCCAGAGTTTGTATGTCAGGAATGTAGTGTGTGTGTAGGTGGTGCAGTCTGTGTAGGGGATCTTGTGTTAAAGGACCTAGAGTGTGTATAGGAGAGTGTGTGTGTGTGTGTGTGTGTGTATAGAGGATAATAGGGTAAGGGATCTAGCGTGTATCTGGAGCGTAATGTGTGTAGTGGTGCTGTAGTACATAATATTGTAAAGCACTACGGAATCTGTTGGCGCTATATAAATGGCAATAATAATAATAATAATATTATGCATGCTGCACCCTTTACACATACACACAGCACACCCAACACACTGCACCCTTCACACAAACAATACATCCAAACACATACATGCATATATATATATATATGTTTGGACGTATTGTATGTGTGAAAGGCGCAGTGTGTTGGGTGTGCTGTGTGTATGTGTGAAGGGTGCAGCATGTGTGTGAGGAGTGCAGTGTGTGTGTAAGAGGGGTGCTGTGTGTGTGAGGGTGTTCTTATCTGCTGTCACATTCTATGTTTCTAATTTTCTTTTTAACTTACTGAGGGTTATTTTATATATTATACATGTTTGTGTGCTGTATATGTGTGAGATTGTGCTGTGTGTGAGTGTGTTGTGTGACTGAAGGTGATGTTCTGTATGTGAGTGTGTTGTGTGACTGAAGGTGATGTGCTGTGTGTGAGTGTGTTGTGTGACTGAAGGTGATGTGTGTGAGGGTGCTGTGCGAGTGAAGGTGCTGTCTGTGTCTGAAGGTGCTGTGTGTGTCTGAAGGTGCTGTGTGAGTGAGGGTGCTGTGTGTGTTTGAGGATGCTGTGTGTGTGTGTGTGTGTGTCTGAGGGTGCTGTGTGAGTGAGGGTGCTGTGTGTCTGAGGGTGATGTTAGTATGAGTGTGCTGTGTATGAGTGTGATGTGTGTGAGTGTGTGTGTGTGTGAGTGCTCTTAGAGTGAGTGTAAATAGCAAATTGTTTATATAAATATGTATTTTTTGTTGTATTTAAAAAAACAGAAAACTACGTATCCCCCCCTTCCTTTTTACCTTTTGACTGGGAGGGGGTGGGGAGCCGGGTTTCCATGGGGGGGTGCCGTGCTGCCATGGAGGGTGCTGCCTTCCCTAGTGGTCCAGTGGTGAGAGTGAACACTAGCCTGCAGGCTAGAGTTTACTCTCGCGAGATCGGAGCGTTGCCGCGGTAACCGTGGAAATGCTCGGACATCGCGAGAGGACCCGGCGGAGCTGCTGGCTAGAGCTCCCCGGGTCCTCTCCTGCCTCCCTTCCTCCCCAGCCGGCGGCCGCTTGTAACTGCCTCTGGGCCGGTGAGGGAGATCTTTGATCTCCCCACCGGCCCATGAGGGCACACAGCAGGGCCGGCGCTCGGATAGCGCTGGCCCTGCAGGGTCTGGCAGGGGAGATCCTATGATCTCCCCTACCAGCCTCGGCCCACAGCCATCGCGGCCCACCGGGCATTTGCCCGGTATGCCCGATGGCCAGTCCAGGCCTGGCTTATTGTATTTGTTCTGGTGAGTATAATCATTCCCTCCAGGCGTTTTGCCGTAAACTCTGTCCTTTCAGAGAAAATGCAGTGTTTACATTACAGCCTAGTGATAGCTCCACTGGCCACTCTTCAGATGGCTGCTAGAGGTGCTTCCTCAGGCAGTGATGCACAGTGTGATGCTGATTGGTCAGGGATATGTTTAACGTGTGCTTGCTCTGCCCCTGATTTGCCACCTTGACAAACAGGCAGATCAAAGGCGGCAGCTGCAGACTTAAATAAAAGTATGATTTTACTATATTAAGGGAGGCAAGGATGGTCAGGGGGGGCTAGATGGTGGTTTAAACACAGGAATAAACAGGAATACATGTTTGTGTTCCAAACCCTATAGTGTTCCTTTAATAATACTAAGACACATTCACAATTGTCAGTATGTTTTGTTCCTTAAAGAGACAGTGCAGGTGCTGTAACTGCTTCATCTCATTGAAGCAGTTGTAGTGCCATTCAGTGTTAAATCCCAGCATCCCATCCCATTGTGTTGCTTGAATTAATGAGAGACAATAATTTAGGAGATTGCAGGTTTTATAACCAATTAAATTAGGTTAAATGACAATTGTACCTACAGTGTCTCTTTAAACAAAAAAGAAAGATGGTGATAGCATCTTACCTGTCACAGAAAATCCACTTTTATGACAGAGGTACACCTTACCACCTTTTCTTTTTCTTTTTTTTTATAAATAGGAAATTTAAAATTTGTGAACATAAAAAGGAATAAAAGAAAAAAGAAACAAAAATAGAAGAGGAATATTTTGGTACAAATAGAAATAAATAGAAAAACACCACAAAAATACAGCTTAAAAAGAGAAAATATTTTACACATAACCCCCAGTATATTAAATTTTGATTTGTTGTGGACAAAAAAAGATGTATGTTCCTGTCAGAGATCCTTGACCCCCGCCTTTGCATTCCCAATACAAGATAAGATAACACAAAAGTGCAAACTCACCAAAGCTGATAGCAGCAGACATTTATACAAAACATCAGGTTAGTGAGACAGGGTGCTTATGTAGACTTGAAGGGTGCCTTGGAACAGTCTAACATTCTGTATCCTTTTAGAATTCTGTAAACAGTGAATTATTTTAAGCAAAGTACCATTTTGTATTTGTAATGACTATTGTATGTAAATAATATCCAGGTCATAGGCGTGCGCACGGGGTGGGCTCTGCAGCTCAGCTGCGGCGAGGGAGCTGTGTGCTGTCTGCTCTCTGCTCCCTCTCGCCGCACGCTGATGCCGGGAGCCGGAATATGACGTCATATTCCGGCTCCCAGCTACAGCAGACAGCCCGCGCGGCGAGAGGGAGCAGAGAGCAGACAGCTCCCTCGCCACGGCCGAGCTGCAGAGAGGCCCCCGCCCCACTGGACCCCAGGGACAAGTCCACGCCAGCACTCCAGGTAGGAGGTTGGGTGGAAATTTTTTTACATTAAAATGTAATCATTTGTTCTTGTGTGTGTGTGTGTGTGTGTGTGTGTGTCTGTGTGTCTGTGAGTGTGTGTCTGTGAATGTATGTGTGTGTCTGTGTGAGTGTGTGTCTGTGTGAGTGTGTGTCTGTGTGTGAGTTTGTGTGTGTCTGTGTGAGTGTATGTGTGTGTCTGTGTGAGTGTGTGTCTGTGTGAGTGTGTCTGTGTGAGTGAGTGAGTGTGTGTGTCTGTGTGAGTGTGTGTCTGTGAATGTGTGTGTGTGTGTGTCTGTGTGAGTGTGTGTCTGTGTGTGAGTGTGTGTGTGTCTGTGAGTGTATGTGTGTGTCTGTGTGAGTGTGTGTCTGTGAATGTGTGTGTGTCTGTGAGTGTATGTATGTATGTATGTGAGTGTGTCTGTGAATGTGTGTGTCTGAGTGTATGTGTGTGTCTGTGTGAGTGTGTGTCTGTGAATGTGTGTGTGTGTCTGTGAGTGTATGTATGTGTGTGTGTCTGTGAGTGTGTGTGTGTACACATATATATATATATATATATATATACACACACACACACACACACACACACACGCAGAGCCGGTGCTATCTGAGTGCCGGCTCTGCTCTAAGCCTCCATGGGCCGGCGGAGAGACCAAAGATCTACCTCACCGGCCCACAGCAGCATGGAGGGAGGCAGGAGAGGACCCAGGGAGCTCTAGACAGAAACTCCGCCAGGTTCCTCTCACGATATCTGAGTATTGCTGCGGCAACGCTCAGATCTCGCAAGAGTTAACTCTAGCCCCGCAGGCTAGAGTTCACTCTCCACTGGACCACCAGGGATGGCACATGGCAGCAAGGATTTACTAATCTGCCAAATCCCTCCAAACATACAGCACACACACATACAGCACCTACACACATACAGCTCACACACACACAGTACACTAACCGCACCCTCACAAACACACACAGCACCTTTAAAAAAAACACATATGTTTATATGTATTCCTGACCCTATAGTGTTAAAAACACCATTTAGGTGTCTTACCCACCCACCCCCAACCCCTTTAGTAGGGTTTAAAAGCTTATTCCCAGAGCCGCGTGGGTCCACCGGTGCTGGCCCTGCCCCCGATCCACCCTCTTAATGACATCATCAGAACTGCTGATTTTTTGTCAATCCAATGCTTTCCCATAGAGAAATTGGCAAGGAGGCGGAATGAGGGCAGGGTAAAACACTGTTTTGGCCAATCAGCACCCCCTCATAGAGATGCATCTCTGTTAAGAAAATTCAGCATCTCCATGCTTTGAACGGCAACTGTGCAGCACTGCCCCAGGGCCCCAGGCCCTTGCTTGCTGTGTGCGGTCCAGCAGCTTCACCCAGAACCTTTCAAAGATTGTGTCAAGGGTGTCTGGTGCTGTAGTGCTGGGCTCTGCTGTGAAACCCTGTAGCCGAGGTATGCCACATGTGGTAGAGCCTTGGGCATCCGCCATTTTGGTTCCCTCTGCTCCCGATCAGCTCAGGAGTAGTACAGGACCTCTGGGATGGGTTAGGCTGCAGTAGCTCCAGGAGTTATAATAACATAAGAAGGGAGCATGTTTATGGCCTGCAATTTGTGCCACTGAGTGCCCAGTCAGGACTAAGTTAGGTGACTGGTTAGCCAGAGATGGGTTAGGCTGCAGTAGTTCGGGACGACGGGGACCGGGATAACCCCCATGGTCCACGGGGGGGGGCAGGAGACTTTTACTTCAGACAGATCTTGTGATCGCAGGAGGAAATCGTCCGTCTTGCCCCCACGCTCTGTCTGGTAGGCCTCACCTTGTTGCCACAGTTGCCGGTCGCTTGTAACACTAACTCCGGTATCAAAAGATGAGGGTGAGTTATCTCTGCTTGTAGGGCTCAGTGGGTACATTTATCCGGCACCTGGGCCCGAAAAATCACCGGATTTATCGTTCTGAATCAGGAGCTCATGCAAGTCACATCTGGCTAGCTTACTGGTCAGGCTCCACCCCCTCCCCCCCTTTTTTTTGAATGTGCATGCTTTCCTACCTGCATATTGCATGACATCATTTTGGGATTTTGGGACTCTTCATGAATCTAATGCACTTCCAGGGTTGGGTGCTAGGGCTGACTACTCGTTTCTAATCCATATTTAAAACAGGTTCAAAAGCTCAGCCCAAGGACCAGTGAAATTAATATCTGTGGTTGGGAAATTGTTTGAAGTGCTATTAAGTGATCATATTGAAGAATTAATTTTGAACAATATCATTAGGAGGAATTAGCATGGTTATATAGAAGACAGTTCATGACAAATTTTTTTATGTTTATTGAGTTTTTTAAAGAAAAAAAACAGCACAAACATTAAATATTTGCATTACATGTGATAATTATAAACAAAAACATTAACTGTTTGTGGAGAAAAATACCAGTTTTAATAGTAAAAAGTGTATGTTGTGAAATGAATGAAGAAATGAATGTGTGCTCCTCATTAGGCCTATTCATTAATTAAAAGACACCTGACTTACTCCATCTATGTATTGTGAATGCAACAGTTATCAACGGGTTTCTTTTTTTATTTCCATTTCAATGATATATCCCAATAAGACATCGTGAACATATGTAACCCCTATCAACATCACTCAGGTTTGAATTAATGTAATGTATTTTCCTCCCATGGAGTCCATATCTTTTCTTCTTTATGTAATGTACCTGATAGTCTTGGAGACATGCCCTCATACAGGTGCCGGTTGGTAAGCTGGCCCTGGATTTTTTACTGGTCCGGAGCTAATTTGTTTTTTCAAACTCCAATAGTCAGTAATGTAAGTACAATCAGATGTTTGTAGGCTCCCTACACCTCATAAAGGAACATATCCAGTAAGTAAACCAGCGAGGGCATTATATTTGGTCAATATGTAGAAGAGAGCACCCTGTCCACCAATAAAGAGTGGACTGGCTGAGTGATGTATCCATGCCAACCTGTTTCCCAATGTAGTAAGTCCCTTGATGTTCCCTGCATATGTACAATAGCTGTAGGCCATTGCTTTTGCTCAAATGTTTTATCCAGTTCCTGCTCCCACTGTGTCATATATGGTAGTTTGGAAGATGCAGGGGGAGAGAGATATATGAGTATGGAGTACACATATGCCAAAGGATTAACTTTGCTACGATCTTGTGGAAGGATGACAAGCTACACAATTCTGATCAGAAGTGAACAAAGAGGTTGTGGTCTTTTTGCCTTCTAATTAATCTATCCTACATTAATCACCTTGGTTAATACTGGTGGCACTGGCATTTAACATAATTATAATTTTAACACCCTTTACTGCGTTGGGGTGAGAAACCGCAATTTGATTCTAAGTGGTTGAAAGTCAGGTTCCGTTGACCCCAGAGGTCTTTCATTCATTTAATTAGTTTGCCCTTTTAGCACCACAGAAAAATAAGCACATTGTGTCTTCTCCACCGTGGCATTGAAAGGTTTAATTTTGTTTCTGGCGTTCTGGCAATTAGCCTGACTGGTGGCATATATCTAGTAGATCAAATGGCCCACTAAGAGTAGGATATCATCAAAATATAGTATTTTATTGCAAGAAAGTTCATTGCCATTTATTAAATGGGGATCACAATTTCCTTTGGAGTGGTTTTGTTCCAGTCAAGAAGGTAAATTGTTTACTTACACCACTCAGATATGACCACTAACACGTCATTTTGTTGTATTTTTCTTGTGCCCACATGAAATAAAAAGTGACTCCCTTTCGTAAAACTGTCCTAATTCACTACATTTATGTTTTCTTTGTCATTTTGTAATTTGATAACATCATAAGTTTTTTTGCCCAACAATTTCATGAAAAGATTAAAATATTAGTAAGAGACTTATTTAGCTACATGCAATCAGGCTTAGTGGAAAACTAATTTAGGGGTGGATAATTGCACACATAATTTACTACTATTGTGGATACTGTGAAAAGAATTAATTGATATAATAACGTACTGATGATATATAATAACTATGGTCTTAATATTCAAGATCAGCTTTCATTAACAACAAATAAGTACAAGATTCCTAGTAGCAACCCCGCCACAATATAAATGTTTATATGTCCACTAAAACTGCTATATCTCTCACGTCAAAATTACACTGTGTAAATGGCTTTTGGAAACAGAAGGAATGCAAAGAAAAAAAGAAAAATTAACGAAAAATGTATCTTCCAGATGCATTACTTCCATCTGAAAATTCATATTTTGCAGTTTAATATGGAATTCTACTTTCAACAAAAAAAAATAAAAAGTGGTTACAAAAAAGTACAGTATAATGTTATTTATGTTCTTAAGGATGAATGATTACAACTATGTTACAGCTCCCCCCTATGTGCTACCTGGAAATTGCGTTAGCAGCTTAAAGTAAGTCTGAATATTTCTGAATACAGTAATTTTGATATCTAACTAAATAAATGCAACAGACACATTTTATTTTTAAATGAGATTTTGAAACATTGTATGCATTATTTAATTTGATAATAATGATCTAGAATGTGTATGAACAATATGATATGTATATAGATATTTAAAATGTGGCATTACAATAAAACTGTTTGTTTGCAACATAGTCATCAGTTGTATATATTTATGGTTTTCCCTATTTAATATATTTTTATGATGATCTGATTTCTAAACAAAAATGGTTATAATTTCAAAAACAAATATTTTTTTTGATTTTCTGATAGAGCAAATTTACTTCTGAGTTGTGTCTTATCATTGTTTATTTTATGTGTATGCCAATCGAAAAGTGTGGCAAAAGAATTATGTGTTTTGGTTTTGTTTTAACACATTTTGGCATATAAAGGATCTCTGACCTTGAATTATTTTCAGAAATGCCTTATACCCTTGAGACATAATGCAAGTATGTGTATGATGCTTAACATACACACGTGATTGGGTTTTGCTGTCTGTTTTTTCCTTGATGTCAGTATTGATTTTGAATCATTTATATCTATATTGTGTTAAATTAAGATTTAAAATTAGCCTTTAAACAGAGCCTTATTGTTCCATAGAAATACGCAAGGATGAGATGCTGTTTCATGGGGTTTGTCACTCTTTCCTTAAATCAAACCATCCCTGTCACATATAAATGGATTGCTTAAGATACATGAAATAACCTGTCAACGTCATGTGTTCTGTTCTATAATTTAAATGACACTATATATAATAAAAAATGCTAACTTCAATACAGTGTATGCCGCACAGTGTTAACACTTGTCTTAGCTTACAATAGCGAATAAGTTAAAAAAATCTCAGTTTCTGTATTCATATTTAAATATGTTACAGATGTAGTGAAGCAAAAATCATTGTATTTTTTTTTTGCCATTATTTTAACTACCCTTGATTTATGTTGATATCAGTTCCTATTTAATGTATTGTCAACACTGGCAGGTTTTTGTGAATATAAAAATGTTTTTTGTGCTGTTGTATGGTATTCAGACATATAAATTGTGGAAGCGTAACAGTAAAACATGTATTATGAAAAAATAGTGTCTTCTAAGAGTTCCGAAGATGTCATAAACCCCAACATGGAAGGTTCAGTTTTTGACTACATGC